CAAATCTATACATCGTCGAAAGTATTCGTTTCTGTAAGAAAATAAAAAGTACGTGTCTAATGATTTAAAATAATCTACTAGACGGACATTAAAATAAAAATTAGTTATCTAGTCTATTAGGTGCCTTTAGCCAAACGCCACTTTAGCGCTTGTCTACAGAGAGAGTAGACAACTAAATGTATGGGGATGACACTGACAAGTGTCAACATTTACGTCAATTCCATATAATTTGGTTTTCTATTCTACATGTAGACAAGCGCTATATGGCGTTTGGCTACAGCTGAAGGACCTCGTTTTTCCAATGGTTACTAGCCTCGTTACTGAGCAAGAGTCTTGGAATTCGAGTTCCAGTTTAGGTAAAAACGTCAGAGTAGATTTGAATTCAATTATTAATTTTTGGTATTCAGTAGTATATACCCATGAGTCTTAAAAAGTACCACAAATAGCTATAACTAACCTATAGTTTGAGTTAGATGTCAGACTTTCGTTTTTGAAAATTACTTAAATTTTCGGTGACCTTAATTTATAATCCCCAAACACATTTGCCAAGTTTGGGGATTAGTTCACATTTAAGTTTAGAATATCTTTATTTCTCATAAAGAATCACATACATAATTCACTTACTGAGAAACAATATTTCATACAAAAGTAAACAATTTAGAGCGCACAATAGTACGTACATATAAACAAAAACAATACAAAAGAACAAATACAAATCTTCACTATTTAAAAATGTGAGTAAAGTGATAAATATACATAAAGAACAGAATCACATTTGTCATCTAATCATGGCGATGTTTTAATATTTTTTTATTAATTTTTTTCTTTACTCATTTCCAGATGGCAGAATAAGTTTGAAAGCGAGTCGTGTCGTCGAAAAAGTTGTATTGTGATGTACTCTACTACTGTTATAATTAAAATTATATAAATTAATTTATTCATTTTGAAAAAACAAATAAAAATACCTATATAAATCAAAAAGTACAGTTTCGTGGTGTGTGTATTGTATTGTATTGAAATAAAACAATTTGAAGCTTTTTCGTTCATTTATTTATTTGTATAAGTATCTACCTCTATTCTTATATCTAAGTTATTTTAATTACCCCCTCCCCCTTCCCCCATCTCCCCAATCCCTGAATACCCAACAATCCTCAAACTCCTAATCCCCAAAAGGCTGGTAACACACTTGTAACGCCTCTGGTGTTCCAGGTGTCCATGGGCGACACCGATTGCTTACAATCTGTGGGCTTGCTCTTGAATCCAATACCGATCGATCAACATTGGTATTGTCAAATTTCGTACTCTCGAGATTAACACTAGCGCCCATTGCATCCGTATTGCGTGGTTATTTAATGAAATAAACGGTATTGAGTTTGGCTTTATATTCCGTACTCTGAATGCTATTTCAACAGCTACGATTGTGGTTGTATAGTGTTTACATTGAATAATTATTGAGATTTTATTGGATTGAAATTGCATTAACATTGAAATTGGTTTCAAGAGTAATTATTACCGACTTACCTATCCCATAAAAAAGAGGTATAAGTTTACTAATTAATTGCGCGCCGTTTCAACCGTTCTGCTCGGCGTCTATTAACCGTAGCGTGATGTTTTATAGCCATTACTCTTCCTTGATAAATGCACTATCCAACACAAAAAGAATTATCCAAATCAGACCAGTAGTTTCGGAGATTAGCGCGTTCAAAACAAACATTTGTATGTTATACATAGTTAATTGTACATGCCATGGCAGCCTGTCAATGAAGTTAGGTGCTTATAATTTGTGGAAGTCCAAGGATGATTAGGTAACGCCATTTTCTATAACCTATCTATCTGTAGATTTGCTTACTAGAGATAGAATTTTGACACATTTTGTTTGGAGCTTATTTCAAAATTCTATCTTAGTAAGCTTTACAGATAGATAGGTTATACATAGAAAATGGCCGTTAAACGGTGAGAATAAAAATGGGTCAGCAGTCAGCTAGCTAGAACATAAACATCTATCATCAACTCTATTTTAAAAACATCTTATCTTTGCATGTCATATCGTCAGATAAAAAAAAAATAAGAAATATAACACAAAGTAAGCGTACAGCTATTTTGGCTCAGCCTACAACTGGTTCCGTGGTGTAGTGGTTATCACATCTGCTTTACACGCAGAAGGCCGCCAGTTCGATCCTGGCCGGAATCATATCTTTTTGTTGTATTTTTTCTCGATTTTTGTAATCAATTAGTAGTTTTAATGATAAGAATGTTTTTTTTATTATTAAGGTGGTCGATTTTCGAGTCTTACAAAGCTGTAGTAATTTTTAAACATTTTGAAATGGACTCTACCTAGGAACACCGACAGTATTTTGTTTTTTATTTTATTTTATGTATTAAGATCAGCCAAAAACTGTTTACACATCATATTAAAACAAATCGGTTTACAATATGCATTTGCAAGTGTAACAATCAATTAAAGGTTAACCTATCATGCACAAGAGATTAGTTATTAGCCTAAGTGTAAATAATTAAACACAAATACAAACCCATAAACCTAAATCTAAATAAATTCCCTGTAGTAAAACATACCTTTCAGCTATCCAACTATATATTTTAATTGAAATGGACTAACATAACAAACATACAGATTAAACTGTCAAACACCAAGCGGTCCCCGGTGACCGCAACCTATTGTGTCTATAAATACGGTACTCGACGAGTTAAGTGTGGGAGAGCCATGCTTTGGCACGAATGGGCCGGCTCGACCGGAGTGATACCACGGCTGAGCAGAAAACCGACGTGAAACAACGCTTGCGTTGTGTTACGTCGTGTGAGTGAGGTTACCGGAGGCCCAATTACCCTAGTCCCCGTCTCCCAAATCCCCGAATCCTCCACAATCCTCAAATTCCCAATTTCCAAAAGGCCGGTAACGCACTTGTAACGCCTTGGTGTTTCGACTGTCCATGGGCGGCGTCGATTGCTTACCATCAGGTGATCCGTCTGCTCGTTTACCGACTTAAGCTATAAAAAAATACAGCTTGGCAAAAAAGGGTTTGGAATAATTGAGGTAGCTAGTATCGTACCTTTTTTTTTCGTCCGGCTAAAATGCCGTGCATACCCGGCCTCGCGGGGCCGAGGCCGGGTTATGTGGGGCTCGAACCCACTAAAAACCCCGGGTGTGCCACTCGCGCATGAGGGCGGGCCACAAGAACTGTACTTTCGCACTTCGTTCGCGACCTGCCCTAATAACCTTTGTGGATGTTCTGCGGATAAGTATATAGTAACCGGGTGCCACAGTCGGTATTCCAAGAGGCTGTGTTCGCCATTTTTTTCAAGCTCATAAATAAAACTGTGATGTACGCATACTATACATACAGTTGCAATTATTATTTACAAAGTATACGTCAATGTCGGCATACAATTAGAGTAAATAATTATATGTATCTACTGTATGTATCTACTGACGTAACTACAAGTCAAATAATGGATAAATAATTATATCCGTGCTAGCATCCTGCCCCTGCTTAGCTTTGTACAACGAATGATATAAGCTAAAAATCGCGGGTTACTCACGTGAGTATATTGAGAAAAGCTCTACTAGTTTCGAACCACAGTGGGGTTCTTCCTCATGAGCAGCGTGTGCGGTCACGGCGATGTCGCGCAGCCTACTGGGTAGTATATTCACGTGAGTAACCCGCAATTTTTAGTTAATTTAGTATTTTAGAGCCGCAAGGGTTACCGGGGCTCCGGCTCTATGCAGGAGTAGGAACGGAGTGAGGTTTAGTCAGTAAGAGTCTTACACACACACAAATGGACTATTCAATATAAAAAGAATTATTCAAATCAGACTTGTAGTAACGGAGATTAGCGTGTTTAAACAAACAAACAAAAAACAAACTGTGTTTTTTATAATAACTATCGTGAGACATACTAAATTAAGTAAAAACGCGGGATACTCACGTGAAACAAACTCTCGTGAAAAAAACAAACTCTTCCTTTATAATACGTACCAAAAAATATTATATTTGCCAAATAAATGGGCAAAGGAAATAGTTGTGTAGATATGTTGTTTACTTTTTTTTTAGTTTTATACGTATTTATGATTACGTTCCTTCCGGGTTTTAAAGCAAAACGAGTTTTGCTACCGCTACATTAGCGACATCTATTATCAGTACCCTGAATTACACTGCAACAGAGAGGTTAGGTTAGTTATCGTTTAAAGAATAATGTTACTTCTTGCGATAAAAATATTTTAATAGTTATTAATATCGATTAGTATAAGTAAATAAACAAATATAAATCTAGAATTTGGTGAAATTAAATGATGAAATGAAATGAAATGATATTTATTTATTTCTGCCAATAGGTTACATAGTATCACTTAATTTTAAAATGACTAGATGAGGGCCGGCAATTCCTTACTGACTACTCAGAGAAGAAACGCCGAAACAAACTCGATAAGTTATTGTCTCTTTTAAAGTCCAGACAGATTATAACTATAATGTGCGAGGACCGTGCAAGTTGATACTGTAGTGGTCTTTTGAGGAAAGATCCACAACAGTTTGAGCAGACCTGTTCTGCAGCACGTATGTGTCAATTTCCAATAAGGTCCTCATAGGCATGGCGATAAGATCAGCCTCTATACATCTGAAAGTGTCGCGGAGACCCTGATGGGTAACCGGGGTAACCTCCGGGCTAACATTCCTTCAGCCGAGCCGGAGGGCTCGACGTGCAGGAGAAGGAACGGGGTGGTTTTTAGTCAGTAAGAGTCTGACACTCCCTCCCACCTCACCCAGGTGGGAGCAGTCATTCGATGATATTACCCCCTTCTAAAAAAATCTTCTGAGAGTCGTAAAGTTAATGACAAAAGTAGATGTTACCTTAGTTCCTTCTAGCGTTAATAAAAAAAGTTATACCGTTTTAAAACTAATTGCACACACAACACACACATACATATGTATACTACCAAATATTTGAATCAGTGTTATCTTATTTTGTTTGTTTTCTTTTTGCAGTTTTAATAGAAAAATTGATTCGTTCCTGTGGAGATATAAACACGATTTATGTATTGGCAAGAAATAAGAAAGGCAAGGACCCCAGGGTGCGGCTACACGAGATGATGGACGAGTTTGTGAGTATAATCTGCCTTATTGTTAGACATACGGCTTACCAGAGCAGTAATTTTATCCCTAAGGTAGGCTAGGCAAGTGCCGGGCGCCAGGTTACAGAGGGCGCGCGTGCACAACTGCACATAGAGTGACGGCGGCTAGAAAAAAAATTAGGTGCGCCTATGAGGTGCTTATCTAGAGCGCTCTCTTGATTTAATCCACCTCTGTGGTTTACGTTAGTGTTAGGGGATGCTCAACTAGTTTTGAAATTATGACCGGGGCTCATAATTATCAGTTGGTTAAGTCTATTAATTTAGAGTACAAATTCGGGTTATTTCATACTTTTGGTTTTTGTTTGTTTTTTTTATCTTCTTTTCATTGTATGAATAAAATCTGTTTTCAGCTTTTCCATAGAGCTCATGAGGAGAATCCTAAAGGAATCCACAAGGTGGTCCCAATATTAGGAGACATGGAACTGCCGGGATTAGGCATCAACGAAGAAGACAGAAAGATGTTAGCAAGCAAGGTATGTTATCCAGTCAACTAGGACGTAGCGAGGTTGACTGTCCAGGCGACACACGTACTTAGGTATCGTCATGAGCTAATGTTCACATGTAAACAGCAGCTCATGTAGTGTAGACTTAGAGTATTCTACTCTATGAGTGTACATGTGCAGTCAATCTCGCCAAGTCACAATATCTTTTACTTCAATCAACACCAGATGGTACTGTCATAAAAAGTTCAAAGGTTTCACTAAGAGATGTCGTTACAGGTCACAATAATTATTAACGCTGCTGCAACCGTGAAGTTTGATGAAAAACTCTCAGTTTCCACGGCTATCAACGTAAAGGGTACTAAAGAGGTTCTGAAGCTGGCTAAGGAGTGTCGGAACCTGAAGGCCATTACTCACGTATCCACTGCTTTTTCGAACACACAAGTCAAACACATTGAAGAAAAGTAAGTAAATTATTATTTTGTTTAAAGCATATAGCGAGTAGATAAATCTTCTCATGGTAAGCAATCGGCGCCATCCATGGACATCCGCAACACCAGAAGAGTAACTACTGCGTCGGCGACTTTTTAGGATTGGGGATCATTATCATCATCATGCTGAAAAAAGGCCTCCATTTGGGATTGGGAATACGCGGGAGGATAGGGCCTCTAATAACTTCGCTTACATGACGAAACACAACACATGTTTCAGACCGGGTTTCTATTCGGGTATATGTAGCTCCAGTCAAGTTCGGTCATTTGTCATAATGGCACTTTTGAAAGTCAAACAACAAAAAATAGGTCAATGTTAGAGAGGATAAAACGCCGGTTTACTTACGTATGTACCTAAATATTGAGATACGCTCTACAAGTTGCGAGTCACAGTGGGACTCTTCCTCATGAGCAACGTGCGCGGACGTAGGTACTACTCCTAGATTAGGCTTCGCTACGTCGTCTTAGTAGAGCTTTTCTCAATATTTAGATTTTAAATTAATGTGTGGGAGAGCCATGCTCGACCGGAGTGATACCACGGCCTCACAGAAGACCGACGTGAAGCCACGTTTGCCTTGTGTTTCGTCGTGTGAGTGAGGTTACCGGACGCCCAATTACCCTCCCCTTCCCCAATCTCCCCGATTCCTGAATCCCCAACGATGCTCAAACTCCTAATCACCAAAAGGCTAGTAACGCACTTGTAACGCTTCTGGTGTTCCAGGCGTCCATGGGTGACGCCGATTGCTTACCATCAGGTGATCCATCTGCTTGTTAACCAGCTTATGCCTTAAAAAAATGTAGTATGTCACACGATAGGTAGAGAGTACTTCCGAAAATAGAAAAAAAAATCGTTTTACTGCCTATTTAGAAACTAGTCGACATTGAATTCGTTTTCGAGGACAAAATTAGCATTATTATAGTAGAAAATCCTTAAAACGAATAGCAGCTTTCTCGTTTTGGTTATCTGAATTACTGAATAATAATAATAGTAAATAATTTTAATTTGTGCTTGTACCCTTCAATTGTGCCTACATGGATCCGATTACTATTTCATAATCGTTTCAAGGCTCTCAAAAAAGCCTATTTTACCTAATTAGCGAAATTATTTGTAACTTAATTGGGAATACCTTGAGAAAAAAGACTATTTTTAATTGGAAGATTTAGCGTCGTATAGATTAAAATACTTAGTTATTTATTTCGTACGACCGTTGTGAGATTGATTGTGAGATTCAATATGAAAAAGAGAGCGACACCAGTGGCGGAAAACTGAACTAAAATGGTTGCGTTCTAAAACTACGTATCTAACATTAATTATTAACTTGTAATTTTTTTTAATTTTTTTTATTTTTTGTAATAAATGTAATTTTGTAATAAAAAAAAACAAACGATTTTTTTATTTAATGTCATTAAGCAATTAATAGTCTTTGATTTTTACTTTTTTCTTATGAATGTTTGTCGGTAAATTTATGTTTGAGAAGCGATAGGCAGACGGATATTTACATTATTATTTCTTTAACTCTCAAGCAGACAAGCAAGCAAGCTAGCAAGCAAGCAAAGATTTTTCGCGCGGTGATTACATAGCTGTGTTGTCTGTCATTCACTCAATCACTAATAATGAATACTTATACCCATAAATAGATTTAGAGACTGCCTCGTTGGCCGAGTGGTCGCAAGAGCGACTGCCGGGCAAGGGGTCTCGGGTTCGATTCCCTGGTCTGGCGAAGTAACACTGGGTTTTAAAAAAAATCTCAGTAGTAGCACGAAGTCTGGTATTGTGCCCGGTATATGGCAATAGGCTCACCCCCTATTACATGGGACTCAAAACATAAATAGTGAAAAGTGGGTGTTACATTGTACAGTGGCATAATATGCACCTCTGACTACCCTTGTTTTATAAATAGAATTATGGATGAACCTAATTAATATCAGATGACTGTTTCCAGATTCTACGAGCCCCCAATGTCGGTTGAGGCTCTGGAAGCCATTTCAGAAGTTGATGAAAAACTGGTCGAGAGCATCTTGCCAACGTAAGTATACGAAAAATCTTTACATTGGTACACTACACATTAAGCTAATCATTACCAGTATAAGCTGACCGTCGAATGTACGGAACGGTCATAGAAAGCGGGACCAGGATAAACTGGTTTTGTATAGCTCCACGCATCAAGGTACATATGCGTAACCAGTATAAGCTGATCGTCGACTGTACGGAACGGTAATACGAAGCGAGGTCACGATAAACTGGAGTAGTATAGCTCCATGTATGAAAATAACTACTATTCTGATTTTTACTCATTTTTTTCTCATTTTTCAGACTACTAGGAACCCGTCCGAATACCTATTGCTTTACCAAAGCCGTAGCTGAAGAAGCTGTCAGGACTTACGGGGAAGGACTCCCCATTTGCATCGTCAGACCCTCCATAGGTAAGGTTTGAGCACTATCCTTACTAATATTTTAAATTGGAAAGTGAGTTTGTTTGTTTGTTCCGCTTTCACGCCGTAAACTACTAAACCGATTGCTTTAAATTTTTGCAGACGTAAAGTTAGAAGTCTGGATTAAATAATAGGGTACTTTTTATTCCGGAAAAATTTGATATTCCCGAGTGAAAACAAAAGTATTGGTATAGATGGCGCTGTGTGTATTGGTATAATATGTCACATAGGCTACTTTTTATCCTTCTACAATAAATATGTATTAAGACTCATCACATAGCTACGGCAGACTGGAATATATTTGACCACCCTGCCTCTTCCCTCGGGTGTTTTAATAGCCGATTAACGCCAGAATATTGAAAGGCTACCCAATTTTAAGTTGTACTTAGCATCGTGCCATCTCTGTCATTTTGCAAAGAATTTGTAGAGACAGAACTATATTTAATCGCGACTTAAAAACGAGTGACGTTTGAGTATGTCAGCTTAAGGGACTCTATTTGACAGAGACCAGGGTGCTTACTCTTGTAACCAATCTTAATGTCAATGCAATTTCAATCCAATAAAAAATCAATAATTGTTCAATGTCAAAACTATACAACCCCTATCGTAGCTGTTAAAATAGCATTCAGAGTACGGAATATAAAGCCAACCTCAATACTGTTTAGTTCACTCAATATCCACGCAATACGGATGCAACATGCAATGCAAGGGTAAGCCCCCTGAGGGGTTACTCAATCCAAATCCGATCGATCGACATTGGTATTGTGAAATTTCATACTCTTGAGTAGCAACATTAACGCCCATTGCATCCGTATTGCGCGGATATTGAATAAACTAAATAATTAATAATTGGGCCTCCGGTAACCCCACTCACACAACGCAAGCGTTGTTTCACGTCGGTTTCCTGCTTGGCCGTGGTATCACTTCGGTCGAGCCGGCCCATTCGTGCCGAAGCGTGGCTCTCCCACACTTATAAAGTATAACCATAATAAACTGGTTTTGTTTATCTCGAGAAAGATACTTTGTGTATTATTATGAACATTATTATTTACAGTTGTATCTACATACGAAGAGCCTGTGCGAGGGTGGACAGACAGTGTGTACGGACCCACGGGGCTTGTCGTCGGCATTGGAACAGGGGTAAGCAAAACTCTATTTTCATTAACATTATCTAATAGCCACAAGACGTCTACTGCCTCACAAGTCACTTGGTCTTCTCCCGATGATTTCCTCATCAATCGGAAGCGACCTGCTACCAGCAGTTCCTTTTTCCTGAAGGGAGAAAATGAATTTATAATAACTATCGTGAAATCTACTGAATTAACTAAAAATGACGAGTTCTCGAGTATGGTGCCACATCTCACATGTCAAATGACAGCACGTACATATATTATTGATGAAACTAATCAACGGATGACGTCACAAAATCCTAGATCGCACATTAAAATAAATAAATAAAATAAATAAATAAATAAATGTAAAGTTAAAAATAAAGATAAATAAATAAATAAATAAATAAATAAATAAATAAATAAATAAATAAATGTAAAGTTTACATGCGAAATAACACTGATAGAAAATCCCAACGAACAACTGTTGGGCAGAAAGCCCGCCAGGCACGATCACCTCGCCTGGTCGGAGGATCCTCCTTTTCCGATCTTAGGGAACTATACTCTCTGTTTCCTAAACGAAAAAGATAACGATGGTCTTCGCAGTAGACTGCGCGATATCGCCGCGGTTGCGCACGCTTTTGAGGAAGATTCCATCTATGACTCGAAACTAGTGTAGACCTTTTTGCAGTATTATGTGTGAACTGACATTTTTAATCATAGGGGGAAAATCAACAAAACGAATTCCACTAGTAATTAAAATAAATAATGAAATAATCTTGGCATCTCTTTCTACAGGTTCTTCGAACAATGTACATGGATCAGGAGAAGGTGGCTGATATGGTGCCAGTGGATCTATGCGTCAATGCCATCCTAGCGTCAGCCTGGCACACTGCCAAGAATTACAAGGAAAAGTGAGTATGAACATACCTTCTTAACAAGATTAATATAATTAACTGACGTCTTTGCTGCATGGTATACAGAAACTATAGAGCGCCACCGACTATGCTCCTTATAAATCTTCTTTATAAGCTGAGTTCTACCAGCTTGTTGTGGGATTCTTGAGGGCCAAAACTCATCAAGTGATTCTTCTTACCCTGGGTGAAGCGAATGGGAGATTCAGACTCTTATTAAACTACCACTGTACAACTCGGACCCTGGTAATGGCAAAGGATAATAAATGTATAAGTATTAGAAATGGTCGTTTATGGACATTCGTAATGCAAGAAGAGTTACCAAGTGCATTGCTGCCTTTTTGGAAATTGCGGTAGTGGAAAGATAATCATGGCAGAGAATGCCATATGGCAATAAGTTCGCCTTATGTGCCATAGCCAAATTGTGTACATTAAAAACTAAATAAATAAATAATTTGTCCTTAACATATTAGTCGATTTTTTTACTCATAAGTAATTTGTTGTTATTTTCAGCCAAACTTCTCATATCCCGATCTACAACTACGTGTCTGGAGCACAAAATCCCCTGACTTGGGGAGAGTTTATCGAGAGGAACCGTAGATATGGTATCGATAAACCAACTACAAAGGCTGTTTGGTAAGTCCTTGTGAGAAATGAACGATTGTAAGCATTCAAACTACTATGTTGATTAAGTAGTTACGGGTCGGGCTTTCTGAAATTTCTAGACTCCGTGCTACTCGGAAATTTACGAAAAAGAAAACGTCTTTTAAACCTTTGGGCCTCCGGTAACCTCACTCACACGACGAAACACAACGCAGTTGTTTCTCGTCGGTCTTCTGCTCGGCCATGGTATCACTCCGGGCAATTAATGAAAGAATGCATGACTCTCCCACACTCATAAAAAACGTTAAATAAGGCAGATGTAATGAAACTTAGAAATGATTGAAGCACCAAATTGTCAGTGGTGTGTTTATGTGTGCGTGTAAGTACTTGTAACACCGTAATGTCTGAAGAGTAACGACGGGCCATGTCACGCGACAGATGTCCTTCGTGTCAATGTGTGTGTATTCTGCGCGTAAGTCTATAGTAGCCAGGTGCCACAGTCGTTGTTTCAAGAGACTGTGTCCGTCTTTTTCACCGACCTTGGGTTTTAAACACATTTTGAATGTTTAACCTCCTTGTTTTAGGTACTACGGATTAAACCCGACGAATAATTACTATTTGTTCCTTTTCTACAACTTCTTCCTACATTACTTGCCTGCTTTAATGATCGACACCTACTGCGCTATCACCGGGAAGAGACGGGCGTAAGTACATAATTACATACATTCATATAGACAGAATCAAAATACTTACATATTTTTTAAAAAAAAAGCAAACACTTTAGACAAACTTTACTTTGTTTCTACGAAACAAATACTAGATGGCGTTGTACACAAGTACAGGACGCTATCGACCTGACACATTTTTGTAATTTTTTAAGCTTGTCACAGTAAAATTAAATTGAAAATAAACAAAAGAGAGAAAGCTTTTTGACAAAATCACTACCTACTTAGCAAACCTGCCCATGATACGTCTTCCGGTCCTTTGTAGCCACTTACCTTACTTATGCCAGTTTTAACCCACATCTCTTAGATTTTAAAGAATCCCTAAGTTAAAATATGTGACACTTAACGATATTGTACCTTTCACCCACTTATAAGTGAGACTCAACGGTAAGTGGTTGATTTAGGTGCGCTAAGTAACTCTTAGGTACCTACTTAAGAGATGTTTAGAAAAAATGACGATTAATCTAACTTTGCTATCTATTTTTTCAGAATGCTAAAGTTGTACTCAAAAGTAATGAAACTCGCCAATATTTTGTTTTATTTCTCAACGCAAGATTGGAAGTTTTCTGATATGAACGTGAGGAATATGTGGAATTCCCTGTCTGATGCCGACCGAGTCGTATTCCCATTCAGCATGGGAGAAATGTCTTGGGAATACATGTGCGAAACTTTCTTAGTTGGTACGTATTTTTCTAACTGCCTCGTTGGCCGAGTGGTAGCATGTGCGACTGCCAGGCAAGGGGTCTCGGGTTCGATTCCCGGGTCGGGCAAAGTATTACTGGGTTTTTAAATAATTCTCAGTAGTAGCACGGAGTCTGGAATTGTGCCCGGTATATGGCAATAGGCTCACCCTCTTATTACAAGGGACTCACAACATAAATAGTGAAAAGTGGGTGTTACATTGTACAGTGGCATAATGTGCACTTCTACCTGCCCCTTTGTGAATAAAAGGCGTGATGTTATGTATGTTTTTTTTCAATTATGAATATTTCAAAAGTAGCTACTCCTTACGGTTTCCCCTGTTGTTAGGCGCTTATTAGTCAAGGCATTATGTTGTATAGCCTATAACCTTTCTTGTTGTATTATGCAACACAAAAAGAATTAGTCAAATTAGAGTCGGGCTAGTAGTTCCAGAGATTAGCGCGATCAAACAAACGTTTTAACTTTACTTAATAATTATAAGCATCAATACTTACTTGGTGACCCTTTCGGATCGGGCATGTCCGCCAACATCGCGTAGCATGTTGCACCTGTATTATTAACTTGTTTTAGTTTTATAATTTACCTTTATTATCTTTTTTTTCTCTTTCTATGTCTGTTTTAAACCTTTTAATTGTTATATGGTCATAATGTATAACTATTTTTTTTCCTGGCGTGCATCTTATAATAACGTATTTCATTTCATTCATTGTATTTCATTAGATTTTATTCCGAGAACGGATTTTTTGAGGGGAGGAATTCGTCGAATATCTCCTCCCGCGCTGTGTGAGGCGAGAGTGTCACACTCTTACTGACTTAACCACCCCTTTCTTATTCCTGCATAGATCTACGGCGCGGCACTTTCAAGTTGTGTATACCAGGTTTTGTAACAGATATAATTTTGTACATTTCAGGTCTAAGGGTGTACCTTATAAAAGACGATCTATCAACTTTACCTGAAGCCAGGAAAAAGTGGAACAAGTAAGTTAATCCTACAAGAATTACAAAGAAAGTTTGTGAGGATGTATGTATGTATGTACTTAGCGCTTTCACGCCAAACTACTTAATGGATTTTGATTAAAGTTGATACAGAGATAGGTTATAGTCTGGAATAACATATTCTTCTTCTCTCTATCGTTTCGCTCTTGGCAGAGCGGTCGTGGTCACGTTGAGGCGGCCGTATATGTGTTGGCGGCCGATACTGCTTTCCTCACGATCTCCCGCCATCTCCCCCTGTTTGTGGATTGTCTGGCGCAGTCTGACTCTGGGTTTCCTGTCGCCGATTTGACTTTGATCAGTCCAGCGCATAAGTGATCTACTTCGTGATCTGGTTCCCTCTACTTTCCCCTGAACGACCAGCCGCTCTATGGAGTTGTTATCACGACGGGAGACATGGTCAAAGTACTGCAGTATGCGCGTCTGTACTATGGTTGATAGACGCTTTGTGATGCTGAGTTCTCGGAGTTTGGATACGTTAGTGCGCGACTCAGTCCATTGTCTATCTGTCCACGATCCAATAACACATTGGCTACTGAGAAATATCGCAAAAACGCAAGCGAAGCCGATGTTAATTATTCACCACGTAATCAAAGTTTATACTCGTCCTAACTACTAATATAGTGATCAGTCGTCCCGTTTTGAACGGGACTATCCTTCTTTTCTGTGCTTCATTAATTATGAGTCCCCAAAATGAACTCTTAAATGGAAAATTGTCCTGCATTCGGAAACCACGCGAAGAATAATCGAACCCATGCGACGACAGCTCATGTGGTGTGTATGTGCGAGTGCCATTAATAACTCGTTAATTTTTGACGAAGTGCAGTCGAAAAACCTTTAAATACCTACATTTTTGTGCAGTTACTCATCGAATAATAATAGAATTTGAATTCAACCTTTTTGGTATGATTACAGGGTTTATAATAAGATTTAACTACCTATAATAGGATGCAACTATCAGATACCTGACTGAATCTCTATAGGAGATAATAAACTCCCGTTCTGAGTCAAACAACAAATGGTTATACATACTAATAACATGTTTTTTTTATTTGTTCCAGGCTCTATTACCTTCATCAGATCCTGAAAATCATCACACTGTCTTTAGTTTTATACTTAACCTATTTTGTATTACAGCCTATAATTGCTCTCGTATTCAATTGAAATTATATGACGCTTTAATTTGGTATCAAATTTATTTTAAGCATAACTTGATATAATAAGGACTACTGCTTGTATTGTTCACTAGATGGAGCTTAAGTAGCGTTTGTCAAATTGTAAATTGCAAGAAGTACTTACTCTGTGTCTATGTGGAAATTATTTTGGTTTTCTTCCTCTGATAATATCTTCTTATTTATGTCGTTGCGGGATCCAAGACGGTTGGTCATGTCTCTGGGACGTTGGATTTCAGTGTTCCGGTGTTTGCATAGCTGTATCTACTGTAGATACTGGTGTACAGAAGTTGCAGCAGTATGGGGAGGTTGTAGCTAGCTTGATAAAAATACAGTAAATTATTTTTGACAGCTACGGTGATAGAACAAAGAAGTGTAATCACACTAGCGCCATCTAGTGAGCAAAATACGGAAGCCCTTATTATAAAAACACGTACGTCCAATGAATTTTTATTTAACTTTTTTTAAAAGGAAATAAGCAATGAAAATATATAGTATACTGAATGAACTAAGTATTTGTTACTCACAAGCTACATCAAGCTATGAAAAACCAGTATAGCGTCGAATGTGCCGAAGTGTCATTCAACGCGAGTCCTTGATATACTGGATATACTGGTTTTCTATAGCCGTGTATTCATTCTTGCTCAATTTAAAAATATGGTGATTATAATATTAATTGATATGTAGATTAATAGGAATTATGACATAGAACTGATAATTAGCAATAATCTTGTTTTTATTGTGCCTTATAGGACTATTAAATAAATTTACAATTAAAATCTTTTAAAAATAAGTTTAGAATTTATGGTCAAGCAAACTAAATGTGTACCTATACAAAATTTCAGCTCCATCTATTGAAGATATCTGCTTCGAAATTTACTTGCAACATTCCAATTCATACATACCTACACACACATACATAGATATCAATTTAAATAAAAGCTAGAAATATAAAGAGATATAATCCGTCCAAATGAAAACATAAAGGAGATTTTTATTGTGATTTTTTACATGTAATGTAATACTATTCCTAGGTAATAATTATATAGTATAACATGGTGAACAAAGGCTTTCTTCTATTGAAGAAGTTTGTCATAATCCCAGAGGTGAATTAAACCTAAAAAGCGCCCTAGGAAATATGACTATGACGTGCATAGGCGCCCCTTAAGTCTTTTGTCGCCGTCGTCACTCTATGGGTAGTTGTACACGCGCGTCTCGCAGCGCCCTCTGTAACCTGGCCCCCGGCACTTGTCTAGTTTGCCTGAATAATACGACTCTGTGCAATAGGGTTACCAGGGTATGAAAATTAAAAATCTGAACACGTATTTTTTTATTTTGTCGTATAAAGTTACAATACATATAAAATGTAGTTAAGTTTAGGAGTGGGAGGTAGTGACATCACAACGTGCTACATTTTGTTTCACGCTGTGACGTCACACGACATTTCAAATCAATATATCGTCGAAAGCATTTAATTTTGTGAGAAAATAAAAAATACGTTTCTAATGTTTTAAAATAATCTAAGTACCAGACGGACATTAAAATTAAATTTAGGAAACTACCCTATTCCAACGCTTGATATAAGATGTTTTATCTCACGAGCACGGGTGCGCCATACTTGTGTGGGTAAGTGTACACGCAACGCACATTGTCTTTGTTTGCGTACGCTTGGGAACGCACCACAGATATCATCATCATCATCAACAGCCTATAAATGCCCACTGCTGAGCAAAGCCTCTTCTCACACGGAGAAGGTTAGAGCATTAATCACCACGCTTGCTCAATGCGGGTTGGCGATTTCAAACTCATAATTAGAAATTATAAGTCCGGGTTTCCTCACGATGTTTTTCCTTCACCGTTTGTCAGTGGTGTCTAAATAATCTTAGAAAGTACATATAACTCGGAAAAAGTCACATTGATACTTGCCGTTGGTAGGTTTCGAACCCGCACCCTCATGCATGAGAAGTGGGCGTCTTAAACCTCCGGGCCACCACGACATTACATACATAACTTCACGCCTGTCTCCCATGGGGGTAGGCAGAGACTAAGGAACGCCAATTACTACGATTCTTACATACCTCTTTCGCTTCATTAACAGTCATCAATCTTTTCATGCATGCTCGTCGGTTAAGGGTACTTTTAATTTGGCCCTTCTTTAATATATCGCCAATCTGGTCACTATATGTCCGTCTAGGGCGCCCTCTACCGACGGCTCCATTCATATCCGCTCTGTATACTTCTTTCGTTACTCTACTTTCATCCATCCTTTCTACATGTCCAAACCAGCGTAACATTCCCTTTTCAATCCACACCTCTCTCTAATAACACTATTTTTCACTCGATCACTCAATTTTAGTCCACACATACTTCTCAGGGCTCTCATTTCCACCGCATTAATCCTGCTTTCATGCTTCTTCTGCCACACCCATGATTCACTACCATACATAAGCGTTGGTGTCAATACACACTGCATTACAGCAAGTCGAGCTTTGCTGGATATTATTTTACTCGACATTACAGAGTGTAAAGCACCATTAACACTATTTCCCGCTTTCACTCTCCTTTCAATATCCCCGTCACACTTTCCATCTCTCGTAAATAGTGATCCCAGATACACAAATTCATTCACTTGTTCCAATTTTTCATCACCTATCATTACCTGACATTCTGTTATCACCTCATTTCTTTCTATCACCAACACTTTCGTCTTGTTCACATTTATTTTCATACCTTTCCTTTCAAATGCATCACTCATAGCAGTGACCATTTGTTGTAATTCTTGGGCCGACGAGGCAACAAGCACCTGGTCGTCGGCATACAACAATGTTTTAATCACTGTGTCATTCATTCTTAATCCAGGCTCTCCTACTTTCAGGTCGTTCAAACAACTGTCCATAAATAGGTTGAACAGCCAAGGAGATGCTACACAGCCTTGCCTAACACCGCGATTAATGTCAAACCACTCCGTGTAGTCCCCATTTATTCTGACACAGGCACTCGAGTCCTTATATAAGGATCTAAGTGCCCGAATCAGGTGGCTATCCACCCCATACATGGACAGAGTTGACCACAATTCATCCCTCACCACTCTGTCATAAGCCTTTTCTAGGTCTATAAAGGCACAAAATACCTTTTGGTGCTTTGATAACACTTTCTCTGAAATGCACCGTAACGAAAAGACTTGATCCGTACACCCCATTCCCTTTCGAAATCCCGCTTGCACATCCCAGATTTTACGCTCAGTTACATCCATCACTCTTTCGATCAATACCTTACACCACGACATTACACCACAGATATAATAAAGAAGAAACAGATATAATATTTCTGTGGAACGCACAGTTTTGGCCGGCGAGCCAATGAATGAGCTTGCTGCGACTTACACACACAAGCACGCGTGTCTATACGCACTAATACTACAACTATGGTTCACCCGCGCTTGTGAGTTAAAGAACTATAGACGACTTTGGCATTGCAGTTTAGGTCACCGTAAATTTCAATAGATTTTATGAAATTATAAAACTGGCTCCTAGTGTACATTTTTTGATATTTATAACTAGTTGTAATATAGGTTAGAATTTTAAGTGTAAATATCATGTGATTGGTTGAGATTTGTAATTGTTTAAATAAACATAATATATTAATGAAATATTAATACGGTTGTTTTATTAATTTTAATAGAACAGGTACCAAGATATATATTTTTTTTAAGGGGGGAAAATCATCGAATGACTGCTCCCGTCTGGGTGAGGCGGGAGGGAGTGTCAGACTCTAACTGACTAAAAACCACCCCGTTCCTTCTCCTGCACGACGAGCCGGAGCCCCGGTTACCCGTTAGGTTCTCCACGGCATGACAGGTACCTAGATATTACCCGGGACTTAGTCCATGTAAAATACCTAATGACTTTTGGCAGAAATTGGGTTATTGAATAACATCCAGTTTTTATAACGTATCTATCTGTAGATTTCCTTACTAGAGACAGAATTTTGACACATTTTGTATGGAGCTCATGTCAAAATTCTATCTATAGTAAGCAAATCTACAGATACGATAGGTTATAGAAACTGGACGTTAGTTTTTGCCAAGATATATTCTACGGCAGTACGACTGTAACAAACAAATACTTATTACTACTACTTAATATACTTAGTTTATATTTATTGCGACATGAATTAATTTTTGTGGTTTCAATAAATATCTGAACAATGCCAGTGGTCTTAGTAACCTAACGGGTAACCGGGGCTCCGGCTCGACGTGCAGGAGAAGGAACGGGGTGGTTTTTAGTCAGTAAGAGTCTGACACTCCCTCCCGCCTCACCCAGGCAAAAAAAAATCCGTACAGCAATGTTATTCTCTAAGAAACAGTTTCTAAGCTGTACTCTGCGTCGAATTCGTCGACGAGACAGCATAGAGATCAACCGAGCCTTCAGCGCTGTTTCAAACTGTATTCCCTTACACTAATAGCTCGTCGGCGAACTGTCTCGTACCTAATTGCTACTCACCTTAATTTGAAGTATTGTAAGAAGCGCGCACAAAGAAAGCATACCCCTTTCTTTAAACACCTCTTAATTAGGTATGAAGTCCTAGAAGCTACTGTTTAGATTTAAAATACTAACATATATATAAAAATGACAAGTTTTTAATTCAAATTCACATTAAAACTGATCGAAATCTATCAAATCCCTCCATGGTGTTTCTTGCTCGTTGTTCTTCATTCTGAACTATCGAAGACAAAAATAATTTTTCAAATCGGAACTTGATTAGCGCGTTCAAACAAACAAACACTCTTTAGCTTTAGGTATACCTACTTACATAATTGTAATCTTACAAACATAAACGCGAGATAGAGAGAGAGAGAGAGACTGTATTTCTGAAGGGTAGATATAACCTGGGTGTCTTCAAGGCCCGAGTGAATAGGTTGCTTATATGGGACGACGTGCAGCGTGCTCCATCGTAGACCGCATCATCGCTTACCACCATTCCCTTTAGCCA